GTCTCCTGAAACCCCGCCTACCTGATGACACCCTGTTTACCACTTACCCAATACTCTGCCCACCAACCTCATCAAACCCCGCCTACACATGGCCCTACCTTTCATCACAGAGAATGGTGAATTCTGATTGGTTGCTGCACTTTCCAGTCTGTGTTTGATGGCTGGAAACGGCACAGGCGAGTCCAGCAACCAATCAGATAACTGTTGTAAGTCGGTGGATGATTTGTGATTGGTTGCCGGCTGACCTTCCTCCATGTTGGTTTTCCAGGCGAGTTCTCCAGAGCAATACATAGAGAATTTTAATGTGGCCCTGGGCCAGTACATGGGGGCCCTGCACAGCATCGTCCCTCTCTTCATCTATATGGTGAGTCTTCTTCCCCGGTGGTGGAAAGGAAGGGCGTGTCCTCTTGTCTATGGGGGGTGTGGCCTCTCTCCGCCCCACCAGTAGGATCACAGCTCTCTGTTTGTGTTCCAGAATAAGTTCTACATAGAAACCAAACTGAACCGAGACTTGAAGGACGATCTCATCCAACTCTTCACCCGCCACGTGGCCGAGAAGCATATCTACAACCTGATGCGTGAGTAGACCCAGAATATGCCCCGCCCCCCACCACCTAGCGCTGACTGTCACTCACGGCTCCCTGCAGGGATTCCCCGATCCTCCAGCGCTGACTGTCCCTCACGGCTCCCTGCAGGGATTCTCCCCGCTCCGATCCTCCAGCGTTGACTGTCACTCACGGCTCCCAGCAGGGATTCCCCCCTCCCCGATCCTCCAGAGCTGACTGTCACTCACGGCTCCCCGCAGGGATTCCCCCCGCTCCGATCCTCTAACGCTGACTGTCCCTCACGGCTCCCTGCAGGGATTCTCCCCGCTCCGATCCTCCAGCGCTGACTGTGCCTCACGGCTCCCTGCAGGAATTCTCCCCGCTCCGATCCTCTAGTGCTGAATGTCACTCACGGCTCCCTGCAGGGATTCCCCCGCTCCGATCCTCCAGCGCTGACTGTCACTCCCTGCAGGGATTCTCCCCGCTCCGATCCTCCAGCGCTGGCTGTACCTCACGGCTCCCTGCAGGCATTCTCGCCGCTCCGATCCTCCAGCGCTGACTGGCGAAACGGACGGGGGAGGGGGCGGGTACAGCTGGCTCTGCCTCTAGATAGGAGGAGCCAGCTGTCACTCACGCAGCTGGGCGGATCCAGACATAATTGCCGGGATCCGCTCCGGCTGTGGCGTCTCAGTATACCGCGAGCTGTAGCTCCCTATATACTGAGCCTAGGGTGACGGGAGGACGCTAGTTTGTGTCCCCCCGTCACCCTGAGGAGAACTATGGGGAAAGCCCTGACCTCGTAGTTCTTCTTTAAGGAAGCCAGGCGTGTAATGACGCGTTGCCCAGTTTCCTGATTGGTCGAGAAGCTGGCCAATCACGAAGCCAGTCAACGCACAAACATTACATGGCGTCCTGATTGGCCGGCCAGCTGGCTCCATGCTACCTCGTCATTAGGTGATGAGTGAGCATGACGCCGGCTTTCTGGCCAATCAGAAACCTGGGGGGGGGTGTAATGACTCGCTGCCCGGCTTCCTGATACCGGAAGCTTAAGTATTGGGCCAGGCCGCACGAGTACTCGGCATCGGCACCAATTCTAGTATCGGTATCGGCGCATCCCTACTAAACCAATCAGATTGAAGTGTGACGCCTGAGGCGCTCCTTCCTTTCCTCCGCTGGTTCTGTATATCGGGTGCGGATGTTGAGGATGTTGGGGGTTTTCATGGTCACACTGTTGGCAGATGCCGGATAATATCTCCAGAGGTTCCACCTCACTTGGTGCTTTGACCGGAGGGGGAAGGGCAGGCCCGGACTCCCCACAAGGCCACCGAGGCCCGGCAGGGAGCAGAGGGGTGGCAGGGAAGGCAGCGGTGCAGAGGGGGCGGCAGCGGTGCAGAGGGGGCGGCAGCGGTGCAGAGGGGCGGCAGCGGTGTCCTTGTGGGGAAGTTGCGATGTCGCCGAGATCACATGTAAAAAGTCTGCAGCCTCCTCCCCCCTGCACTTACCTCTCTCCTCGCTGGCTCCGTCATCCGCCGCCTCCTCACTGCGGGGAGCAGAGCGGCAAGGGTTAAAAGTAACCCTGCGCCGCTCCGTGAGAGCTGCGCTAGAACTCCTGTGTTGGAGGTGACGGGGTCAATAAAGAGAACCTGTCACCTCCAAAGGCTGTCACACAGGGGGAGGGAAGGGCCCGGGGCCCATGTGACTGAAGATGACCCTCCTGCATTGTAACCTCCTTGTGCGTCTCCCTCCTGCAGCATTACTGATAGAAGCTCAGTCCACCCCGTTCCAGATCACCCCTTCCACCATGGCCAGCATCGTGAAGGGACTCTACACCCTGAGGCCCGGTGAGTAGTCTCCATTATTAGTTGGATGTGTAACTGTATAGACCAATGGTCTTCAGCTTAAAAGGTGTAGGGGCCCTCAAACGCGGCTTCTGATGTTTCCCAAGGGCCACATCTAACATTTATTATATGTAATGCTCCAGAAGGCCATCATAGAGTGTAAGACGTAGTGGAGGAGATGGTCATGCTGTAGGAGACAGTCAGAGACTGGGGACATGTTACATGGAACTGCCAGTAAAGATCAATCCTGGGGCCCAAGGGCCACACTTCAAACACAAAATCGGCTGCATGTAGTTCCCGGGCACCAGGGATATAGACAGTGTGATGTGGCCCCGTACTGAGCAGAGGGTGGTGACGGTTCTACTCGTCTTGTACAATATGTGACCCCTCCCCCGCTGTGCTTCACTCCTAGAATGGGTCCAGCTCGCACCCACGCTCTTCTCCAAATTCATCCCCAATATTCTGCCCCCGGCCCTGGAGTCCGAGCTGCAGGACTACGCCGCCCAAGACCAGAAGCTTCAGAGGGACCTCGCGCAGAATGGATTCACCAGGTCAGTGCACATTCGTTGTGTGATGGGGGCACTCCATGTACTCACCTCTGTGTCCTCTCCTCCTCCATGTACTCACCTCTGTCCTCTCCTCCTCCATGTACTCACCTCTGAGATCTCTCCTCCTCCATGTACTCACCTCTGTGTCCTCTCCTCCTCCATGTACTCACCTCTGTCCTCTCCTCCTCCATGTACTCACCTCTGTGTCCTCTCCTCCTCCATGTACTCACCTCTGTCCTCTCCTCCTCCATGTACTCACCTCTGAGATCTCTCCTCCTCCATGTACTCACCTCTGTGTCCTCTCCTCCTCCATGTACTCACCTCTGTCCTCTCCTCCTCCATGTACTCACCTCTGTCCTCTCCTCCTCCATGTACTCACCTCTGTGTCCTCTCCTCCTCCATGTACTCACCTCTGTGTCCTCTCCTCCTCCATGTACTCACCTTTTGTAGGCTTGGCTCTCCCCATGTGCTCACTTCTATGACCCCTTGCCCTCCTCCATGTTCTCAGCTCCTGTGACTCCCCCCCCTCCCCCCTATGTGCACTCTGTTATGATGTCACAGACTCCTTGTACTTACCTTTGTGATCTAATCTTCTTTGGCTCACTTCCATGTACACATTTCAGAGACGCCCCTCCCCCGCCACGTACTCACCCCTGTTGATTGGTTGTTGTCCCCTGCCCCCCCATGTGTAACTGTAAATATAAATATGTTTTATTTCCTTTTTTTTTTTTAAAACAAAACTTGAACTTTGCTGCTACAGACGCGTGATTGCCGAGGAACGCGGCGCCGCGATGGATCCGCCTTGTACAGGACGACCCATTTCCCCAGCCAGGGCCCGCTTACCTGTCCTGTGCTCCGGGTGTCCAGTCCCGTGTGCTCTCTCCCTCCGGGTGTCCAGTCCCATGTGCTCTCTCCCTCCGGGTGTCCAGTCCCATGTGCTTTAGCTCCAGGTGTCCAGTCCCATGTGCTCTCTCCCTCTGGGTGTCCAGTCCCATGTGCTTGTCTCCGGGTGTCCAGTCCCATGTGCTCTCTCCCTCCGGGTGTCCAGACCCATGTGCTCTCTCCCTCCGGGTGTCCAGACCCATGTGCTCTCTCCCTCCGGGTGTCTAGACCCATGTGCTCTCTCCCTCCGGGTGTCCAGACCCATGTGCTCTCTCCCTCCGGGTGTCCAGTCCCACGTGTTCTCTCCCTCCGGGTGTCCAGACCCATGTGCTCTCTCCCTCCGGGTGTCCAGACCCATGTGCTCTCTCCCTCCGGGTGTCCAGACCCATGTGCTCTCTCCCTCCGGGTGTCCAGACCCACGTGTTCTCTCCCTCCGGGTGTCCAGTCCCACGTGTTCTCTCCCTCCGGGTGTCCAGTCCCACGTGCTCTCTCCCTCCGGGTGTCCAGTCCCACGTGCTCTCTCCCTCCGTGTGTCCAGTCCCACGTGCTCTCTCCCTCCGTGTGTCCAGTCCCACGTGTTCTCTCCCTCCGGGTGTCCAGACCCACGTGCTCTCTCCCTCCGGGTGTCCAGACCCCTGTGTTCTCTCCCTCCGGGTGTCCAGACCCACGTGTTCTCTCCCTCCGGGTGTCCAGTCCCACGTGCTCTCTCCCTCCGGGTGTCCAGTACCACGTGTTCTCTCCCTCCGGGTGTCCAGTCCCACGTGTTCTCTCCCTCCGGGTGTCCAGACCCCTGTGCTCTCTCCCTCCGGGTGTCCAGACCCATGTGCTCTCTCCCTCCGGGTGTCCAGTCCCATGTGCTCTCTCCCTCCGGGTGTTTTCTCTTTCGGGGTGGCCAGTCCTGCGTGCCGCGTTTCAGTTGCTCTGTATATAAGATATGACATGGCCCGGTAAGTGTTCTGTATCCTCATCTCTGTAAATATAGAAATCCTGATGGGTTGTTGCAGAACACTCCCAGTTCATTATACCTGCAAGTGTTCCCGTATTCTATGACTGATTTGTCATCACCTTCTGGACCTCATCACTCGGTGTAAGCCAGTCCTCCATGACACCCGAGTCCACAAAGAACGCCAACGTCTGCCATGGGCAGTGGACAGTTCTGACGCTGCAATTGAAATAGAAGTATCTGGACTCGTCACTGGTTTGTAGACGAGTCTCCTTCTTGTAGACGAGTTTCCTTCTCCATGTTGGGGAACACAAGGAGGACAACAAGGACACCTAAACTCAATGAGGACATGGTAAGAAGGCCACCACTCAATGAGGACATGGTAACATGGCCACCACTGGACTCAATGAGGACATGGTAACAAGGCCACCAGTCGACTCAATGAGGACATGGTAACAAGGCCACCACTGGACTCAATGAGGACATGGTAACAAGGCCACCACTGGACTCAATGAGGACATGGTAACAAGGCCACCACTGGACTCAATGAGGACATGGTAACAAGGCCACCACTGGACTCAATGAGGACATGGTAACAAGGCCACCATGGAACTCAATGAGGACATGGTAACAAGGCCACCACTGCAGTCAATGATGACAGGGTAAGAAGGCCACCACTGGACTCAATGAGGACATGGTAACAATGCCAGCACTGGACTCAATGAGGACATGGTCACAAGGCCACCACTGGATTTAATGAGGACATGGTAACAAGGCCACCACTGGACTCAATGAGGACATGGTAACAAGGCCACCACTGGACTCAATGAGGACATGGTAACAAGGCCACCACTGGACTCAATGATGACATGGTAACAAGGCCACCACTGGACTCAATGAGGACATGTTAACAAGGCCACCACGGCACTCAATGAGGACATGGTAACATGGCCACCACTGGACTCAATGATGACATGGTAACAAGGCCACCACTGGAGTCAAGAAGTTGGTCACTGGGTAGAAGCAAACTAACCCCAAAATGTGACCTCAGCTTCTAGAGTTGGGACCGGGAAGTCAGCAGTTTGTATGTTGTGTTTCTGTGTGAACGTGTCTCCTTCCTGTGCTACCTGCAGGCCGCATTGCTCTACGAACTCGTCCGGTCACTGTGCTCAGCTGATACATGGCTGCCTTCAAGGCTCAGCACTGTCTCCATGGGATATCCCGGCTCCTCCTCCTACGCTCGGGGGATTCAGTTCGGGTTTCTTGTCACGTTGCACTTTGTTTCCTCATTTTGAAGCCGGTAACGGATACACGATTGTCCAGGTGAAGAAAGAGGGGGAGGCGGCAGGTTGGGTCGTCTCTCTCGTCTGTCCGGGGGTATAATACAGACCGGCTGCCGCGATCGACTAACAATAAGACTCGTGTGATTCTCTCTCACGGACAGACGGGTTCCATTCCTTAATCTCCGCCCCCGTTTCCCCCCCCCTGCGAGGGCGGCCTGTAAATAACGACCCCGCGTGAAGATTAACCATAAGTCGCCAGTTCACTGCTGTGAAGATTCTCGTCATAGAACCAGCAGTGGCTTGGTTCTGCGCGTTCCCCCGGAGCCGCCTGCGCACAGCTGCGGCACGCAATAGACTTGGCGGCTCAGGTCCCGGGAAGGCGGCGCAGTCCACGCGGGGGGTCAGGAAGGCGGCGCAGTCCACGCGGGGGGTCAGGAAGGCGGCGCAGTCCACGCGGGGGGTCAGGAAGGCGGCGCAGTCCACGCGGGGGGTCAGGAAGACGCACCAGAGCTTGTTCTGTTGTGAGATTTATATTTGTTACATATTGTGCACTATTTCTATAACTGAATGACAAATAAATATTTATCATCTGTACAATGCAGCCGCTTCCTTGAAGCAGGGGGCCCTAGAACAGGGGGCCACACACAACAGTACAGGGGGAGGTTCCCTAGAACCGGGGCCACACACAACAGTACAGAGGGAGGTTCCCTAGAACCGGGGCCACACACAACTGTACAGTACAGAGGCAGGCGGTACAGAGACACTCCAACCACAGGGGGTACAGAGACACTCCAACCACAGGGGGTACAGAGACACTCCAACCACAGGGGGTACAGAGGCACTCCAACCACAGGGGGTACAGAGACACTCCAACCACAGGGGGTACAGAGACACTCCAAACACAGGGGGTACAGAG